CAGCTCAAGGCTAGCACTCTACCACTTGAGCCACAGCACCACTTCTGGCTTTTTTGTTTTTGCTTATGTGGTGCTGAGGAATCGAACCCAGGGCCTCATGCATGCAAGGCAAGCGCTCTACCACTGAGTCACCTTCCCAGCCCCCCCACCCTGGCCCCTTAATTTAATTTTTTTTCTTATCACAAGCAGTTATGGATTTTCTTTACCTAGCTATGTACCCAAGCTTAATGCCTTTATCTATGCGATATCAACTATTAAACAAAATCCTTACTCTTTCATAGATTCTCCCTTCCTTTATCCATCTCATTCTGACCATTACTTTAAGATTACTTTATGAGTCACATACATGCATGTTGATACTCTGACTAAGGATTGTGCTTGCCAGTCTTTGAGTTCACAGCAGACCATGACCAAGTCTCTTTTGACCTGCTCTAGCATTTCTATTAGTTGCAAAACTGAAATTACTATAGAGTATTTGATAGGTCATCATGTATTCTGTCGATTGTCATCATACCCCCCCCAAAGAATGGTTTACCCTGCGGTGATAAAAGAAAGCAACTCACCTAGTGGTCAAGTTGTTATTAGAAATATTGACAACATCTAGTCTGGTATCTGTGTCACTGTGAACAAATGAAACATGAACGGAAAATTATTAAGTGAAGTAAGCCAGGCCCAAAGAAACATAGGTCCCATGGTTTCCTTTAGTTGCAATATCTAGTATATGTCTGAGTCAAGCAGAAAAGGTCAGATAAGGTGATGTTAGGGAAATGAAACCTAAGATATGTATTCAAATGATTTTTTTCTTTCATAAGATTGTTTCTAACACATTTATAAGATGATTTCTTTGTTGCTTTGAATGTCCCTCCCTCACAGTATAACCCCTGCTTTCACTGTATTTCATGTCAGTATAATTTGTGGAGGGGAAAGGGAAAAACAAATCATTTAAATGGGGATGCAGGTGGACCCATTGCAACAATGAGATGTACAAGTTGTTACGTCGTAAATGAACTTTACAACTTTGGTGGGGGGCGGGGAGGATTGAGTGGGAGGGCATGGGGAGGATGGGAAGGGATGGGAAGCGAAAACAAAGCAGGAAGCTAAAATGCTTGATAAGATATGTACTCATTATCTTGCCCATGTAATTGTAACTCCTCTATACAGTATTTTTACAATAAAAAAAAGAAAAAGAAACAGAAAATTAAGTTGTACTATGTATACTCATTACCTTGCCCATGTAATTGCAACCCCTCTGGTATTTTCACAATAAAAAAAGAAAAAAAAGAACTTTAATTCTCACAATTAAAAAATCATACTTTTTTTTATATATACCAAAGTGCTGACCTTTAAACTAAGGTCTGTGTAGACTAAGCAGGTGCTCAGTTACTTGAGCTACATCGCCAGCTGTTTTGCCTCTTTCTTAAGTACTGAGTTTTGAATTCAGAACCCTGTTCCTGATATTTAAGTGCTCATTTTAAAGTCACACTTTTGTCTATGCTGGCTTTTTCAATTATCTTCTTGTTTGTTCTGTCATCATAATCTGGTATGAATAGGTATGCCACTTTCCCACAATTATAATTCTATCTACTCAAGAGGCTGAGACCAGAGGATAACAATTTGAAGCCACCGAGATTACGAATGTCTTGGGTGGAACATTTCCAATTAACCAGTAAAATGCTGAGCTGAAAGTATAGTAATCAAGTTAACAAATCAGCCATGAATATGAAAGCAGAATAGGAATAATTTTCTAAGCTTTATAAGTAACAACACACACACACACACACACACACACACACACACACACACACATACCCCCACATACATGTACACACACCCTAATCTTTGTCATGTTGCACAAGATTTTATACGGAATTAAATCATAACACATTAAAGTAGTCACAAACCTGTCATTGTGCCAGCGATTTCACCCTTTATCCAGTGTAAATCAAGTCCTTACACTACTCATATCATAATGTCAGAAACCTTAAATTCACACTTTAAAAAATTAGAATTCAGGGCTGGGAAGGTGGCTCAGTGGCAGAGAGCTTGTCTTGCCTGCCTGAGGCCCTGGGTTCGATTCCTCAGCACCACATAAGCAAAAAGAAAAAAGTGGTACTGTGGCTCAAATGGTAGAGTGCTAGCCTTGAGCTGAAGAGCTGAGGGACAGTGCCCAGGCCCAGAGTTCATGCCCCATGACCTGACCCCCCACCCAAAAAATAAAATTAGAATTCAAAGAACTTCACATTCAAAATAAGGCAGAACTGGGCTCTGGTGACCCACACATGTAATCTTACCTACTCAGCAAATTAGATCTGAGGAGCATGGTTTGAAGCCAGCCCAAGAAGGAAAGTTCCTGAGATTCTGATCTCCAACAAACTACTCAGAAATTCAGAAATTGACCTATGGCTCAAGGGGTAGCATACTGGCCTTGAGCACAACAACTCACGAGTCGGTGCCCAAGACCTGAATTCAAGCCACAGGACCTGAGCTAAATAAACAAAACAAACAAACAACAAACAAGTAAGTAAATAAGGCAGAGCCCTAGAGGATGAGTATATATGTCATAAAATTGTCAACAAATAGCATTTAGAGGTGTAGAGAGATTTTTTATACCCTGTTATGAAACTTCTATTCCTAGGACTGTGAGATAAATTGTGAATGTATGGCATATTTAGTTTGCAGAAACTGATTACTACAGTCACAGAAAATGTATACTACCTTATATAGACTATCTACTAGCATTCTAAGGGTTTTCTTCAGAACTCACTGAAAAAGCACAATGTTTCTCTTCTGGATGGGTTCTTATTTTTTCGAATAACTGAGAAATGGGAGAAATGTAACAGACATAACGTGAATGCCCAACCATTTCATAGTTTCCATAATACCTAGTTTAATATCTCTGTATCTTAAGTTACATATACATCTCACCTTTTGTTAACATGTTGTAAGATTATCTCTAGAGGTTCAGTCTTCTCCGGGCTAAAGGGTTAAGTTACACACAGTCAAACACCAAGTGAATTAATAAATTTACTTTTTCATTCAAGTTAACTACAATTAAGTCAGAACGAATAAATTGGTACAATATCAAATTTTACATATTCAGTTACATGAAAAGCAGTATTTCTATCTTTCCCTACAAATGAGGCTTCTGGGGAAAATTACAAGTGTACACCTGGCTAAAAAAGGTTGCATTCATGATTTTAAAATAATTTTGTTCTAGGCAGGTGCCTGTGCTTCAGGGCTACAATTCTAGCTGCTCAAGCAGCAGAATTCTGAGGATCGCTTGTAACCACCATGGACCAAAAAGTCCATGAGACTCCTATCTCCAATTATCTACCAAAAAAGCTGAGTTTGGGCCTGTGGATCAAGTGGTAGTCTTGAGCACATAAAGCTCAGGGTCAGGTCTGAGGCCCTGACCCCAGCTTAAATAAATATGGGAACAAAAATAGATAAGATAACAAATGATGACGATTATTTTTTTGGGAGGGGGGTCCAGTCTTGGGGCCTGAACTCTGGGCCTGGGCACTGTTCCTCAGCTCTTCAGCTCAAGGCTAGCACTCTACCACTTGAGCCACAGTGCCACTTCTGGCTTTTTTTTTCTTTTTGCTTATGTGGTGCTGAGGAATCAAATCCAGGGCCTCAAGCATGCAAGGCAAGCGCTCTACCACTGAGCCACCTTCCCAGCCCCAAATGAATATTTCTATTAGAGTACATATAACAAAACTGAATTCTCTTTTATTATAGACTAATTTAAAATATTCTGCTTCCCATGTTCTCTCTATTCCCTCTTTAATTACATGAATTAAGACTGACTTTGCTGCCTTGAATCAGATAGGGACACCAGGCTAGAAGCAGGACACCCATCCAATGTGATGGGGGGGGCCTTCTAGGTTACTGAGTCCTAGAGAATGAAGCATTGGTCCAGGGTTGATGAGCTCCATTCTCCTGGGTTCTGTAGAAAACTGGGACTACCTGCTTGATTCTGAGAGGGATTTTCACCTCCTTTGGCTCTTCATGAGCTGTATGCATGCAGCCACTGATCCTCTAAAGATTGTGGCTGCCAGTCCTTGAATTTACAGCAGACCATGACCAAGTCTCTTTTGACCTGCTTTATCATTTTCTATTTAATTTCAAAACTGAAAATTATTTCATACAGTTTTTGATAGGTCCTCATGTATTCTGTCGATTGTTATCATATTCCAAAATGGTTTACCATGCAGATCACCAAAGAAAATAACTCACCCAGTAGTTACACCTTCATTGGTACTGTTGTCATTGCTGTGAACAAATGAGAAACAAACAGAAAATTAAGTTGGACAGTATAGATGAAATCGCACTTTTCTACAGTGCTGACTACTGAAAACATGGCCTGGGCATGCTAGGCAGTTTTAGGCAGCAGGCTCAGTCTCTTGAGCTAAACCTCCAGCTCTTCTATTACTAAACCACTTCTCTCAAGTACTTAGTCTGAACTAGAGCCCTGTGCTTGCTAGCTAGGTGCTCAATTTCGAGTCACACTTTTTCTCTGCTAGCTTATTCAGTGATCTCCCTTTTTGTGCTTTCAACATAATCTGGGATGGCTGGGCATGTCTCTGTCTCACATCTATAAGCCTACCTACTCAGAGGCTGAGAACAAAGGATAACAATTTGAAGCTACCCAAATTGGGATATCTTAGAGAGTTCATCTGCAACTAACTGGCAAAATGGTGGATTGAAAAAGGGTTAAAGAATTAACACATCAGCCATTAATAAAAAAGCAGAATAGGTACAAAGCTCTGAATTTTAGCCATAACAACAAACACACACACATACCCTAATCTGCAACAAGATTTTACTAGGAAATCCAGTTACCACAGATTCAAGCAGATACAATCTTGTCACAGCGCAAGGGATTAAGCCCTTTATCCAAGGTAAGTTATGTCTTTACATTGTTCTTGTTGACTGGAAACCTTGGAATCAGATTTATGAGAAATTTTCTTTCTAGGTCTAGGAAAAAATGTCTTCTACAAAATACGGCAGGCTTATAGGATGAATATACACATCATAGAATTGTGGACAAACAGCAAAATAGGGGGAAAGGGTCGAGAAAATTCTTTAAAGACCTGATAAAGAGCCAACCCTGCAGGCTCTTTGACCTGACACTTCAATCCTCTAGAGCTGTGAAATAGGTTGTATGCTACTTTATTTGTTTTTGTTAATGGTCCAGGCTTGAACTCTGGGTCCGGGGGCTGTCCTTGAGCTTTTTTGTTGGAGGCTAATGCTCTACCACTTACCCACAGAAACCAGTGGTTTTTAAGGAAATCTGTCAGCAAGTCCCAATGCCTTTTACAACTCATATTAGTAAAGTCAACTTACTTTTGTTCATTTTCTGGATAGTTTATTCTAGTATCTGTTGTAGCATGTATAACTCTGCTACAAAGAGAAAACACAAAAAAAGCAGTCAGACATTTTGGAAGGCAATGAGACTCTTGGTACTTTAGGATTTCAGGATAGAAAAGTAAAAAAGCAAAAGAAAAAAAAACAAAACAAATACAAACAAGAAATTTTGACAGAGCTAAAGAAACAACTTCAGAGCACAGAACTGAGACCTGAAATAATCTGATAGGTGCACATATCAGGTGTGTGTGTGTGTGTGTATGTATGTATGTGAAGGAAAGAGGAAGAAGGAAAGAGGGTAAGTTTAGAATTCATGAATTTCCTCTTCTTCTTCCCTATTTTGTGTACCATTCAGGCTAGCCTGGAATCCATTGGTAAATGAAACACTGGGTAAGTCAAAAATGAAAGGATGGTTTCAGGTAATAGTTTATGAAGAAAAACAAAAGTAAAAACACTAGAACAAATATTCTAATACCATGGACTAATTGCTATTGAGTCTTCTGTAAGAAAGAGACAGTAAATAGGTCAAGAGTGGTCTAAATTGTTGTACAGTATGGTATAGAGCTCAATTATACAGCATTTTATGAAGTACTTATGAAGTAATCTCCTGGGCTCAAGCCCTCAAAAATTAGTTTATTAGAATGATTTTTTCTTTCCTATGAATTCATTTTTAAAGGATATTTTGTTAGACTATAAACAATTAAGATTTAGCTCAGTGGAAAAACATGAGAAAGGCCCCGAGTTTGATCCTCAGCACTGGGAAAAAGAAAAAAGTAAAATGCAAAAAAGACAGATACACATACACATACAAAATAATAATAATAATAATGGTACTAGTCGTCATAGTAGTAGTGGTAGTAGTAACAGAAAAGACTGAATTTAACCAAAACAAAGTCATCTCTACATAGCTACTGCTTTCTACCAGGAGTCCAACACAGAACTATAACACCAAAAAGTATGCAAAGGTATGGAAAAGTAAGAATGTACACTTCAGTTGGTTTCTGTCAAGGAAGAAAGCTGGAAGAGACTGAACAAACCCCTTATATATAGACTACTTAGTGAACTATTTAGGGCTCCAAAGCATCAGACATTTATGAATGCTATAAGAACTCCTTTAACTGAGTATACAATGATCAACACCTACGATAGATGAAAGTAGCAGTGAAGTAGCAGCAGTAATTTTAGTGTGTGTGTGTGTGTGTGTGTGTGTGTGTGTGTGTGTGCAGATATATGCTTATAGTTTAAGGCTTTGTAAACCTTTCCCACTCTCTTATTAATCTTTACCACACTCTATACTTATAAACACCTCCCATGCTCTTAAACACTTTCTACACTATTTATTTATTTATTTAGCCAGTCCTGGGCTTCAACTCAGGGGATGGGTACTGTCACTGGGGATCTTTTGCTCAAGGCTAGCACTCTGCCACTTCAGCCACAGTGCCCCTGTTGGCTTTTTCTGTACTGAGGATTCAAACCCAGAGCTTCATGTGTGCTAGACAAGCACTCTACCACTAGGCCACATGCCCAGCCCCACTTTCTATACTCTTAAACCTACATAATTTTATCAGCAAAATCCCATGATATAACAAAAACTCTGCAATACAGATTTGAATTTCTTTTTGCTGGGGGGGGAGAGGTAGTGGGGCCTGAACTCTGGGCCTGGGTGCTGTCCCAGAGCTTAAGGCTAGCGCTCTACCACAGCATCACTTCTGGCTTTTTTCTGCTTATGTGGTGCTGAGGAATCGAACTCAGGGACTCATGCATGCAAGGCAAGCACTCTATCACTGAGCCACCTTCCCAGCCCCCTGGATTTAATTTTTAACCCTTGATACAGTGAAGCTGCAAAAAGGGAACTGTAATATAGTGAGGGAAAACTGCACTTTATGAAGCCTGAAAAACTACCTTAGTAAGCTGCTTGGGGGTACAAATACTGTCTTCTCCATGGGACATGAATAAACCAGCAGCTGAAGACAGGATCTGATAAGAATCAACATTCTTCCAATGGTATACACCACAGGCCTTATTCAGACTATTACATGCTATTTATACAATGTGAGCTATCTTTAAAATTCTTTGGCTGAGTCACATCTTTCTTCCCTTTGGATTTTTTCTGGTGCCAGTTACTGGGGCTTCAATTCAATGTTTGGGCACTCAAGGCCAGCACTCCATCACTTGGTATATGCATAACATCTAGGTTTTTGGTGGTTAATTGGAGACAAAAATCTGATGGGACTTAGCTACCTGGGCTGGCTTAGAACCACAATCCTGAGATCTCAGCCTCCTGAGTGTTACGATTGCAGCCATCCATGCCCAACTATGTTTTCAGAGTCTATCATACATAATGCTGAATTGTAAGGCACTAATATCACTAATAAAAACTTTTTACCTTCAACATGGTAATGATGTATGTTTCTGGTGTTAATTAAATACCTGAAGCCCTTGTGGCCATCCTTGTGGAACACAGCTAGGCTGAATACCAGTTTCTCATCCCTAACACACTATCCACTATTATTAGAACAACCAGCCACCCCCAGAGTGAAACTTAAAAGGACTGGAACATGGCTATCACAGAACTTAAACTTCAGTATTTTAACGAACAGTAAAGGCATAGAACAAGGCCTTTAATCTGTGAACATGTTAAATAACATTTTCCATACACTTTACATTATTAAGAAAAAAGGTATAGCTGTGTTCCTGATTTCACTAAACAAGCCTAGGATTTTTGCTCAAAATTTAGCACATTTGAATGCTATGACTTACTTGTTATGTCTGATGCGTACCAACCAGTGGTACACGGATCTGCAAATGGATCTGAACATACAAATCTCTCAAATTCAAATAATCCTAAGAAAAGGAAAGCACATAAGAATTTTATAGTCATTGTTTCTAAAACAGACTTATAGTATCACTAAAAATAAGGTGAAAGCCACACATACCAAGCTTTTAGGTAGTGTTCAACATCTCCAAATTTTTGGCCCACAAAGTTATCAGATCTATAATTCTGTAGATTTTATCAATTCCTTGAGACATACATTCTGCAATTGCCTTTCATATTTTAGTTCCAGATACAGAAAACCTTTTTGAATCTTCAAAATATATTAAGTTTAGCTAAAGTACAAGATACTTTACAGATTAATCCAATTGCTACACAGGAGGACTTAGAAAGTTAAATAAAACCAGTTTCACTACATCATGATAACTAATGATTTTCTATCTAGAAACATTGTACAGTATAACTTAAAAGCATTAGAGAGAAAGTGATATGTTCCTCAATATTTCATAGAGTGGATATATGTTATACAAGAAAATTCAAAGTCAACAGGAAATAAAAAGATATTGCCCATCCAGGGTCTGGTGACTCATACCTTTAAACCTAGCTACTTAGGAGTTCTGAGGATCTTGGTTCAAAGCAAGCCAAGATAGGACAAATCCATGAGACTCCAATTAACCAGGAAAAAAAGCTGAAAGTGGAGATGTGGCTCAAAAGGTAAAGCATCAGCCTTGAGTGGAAAAGTTTTACAAGAGTTTGAGGACCTCAGTGAAAGCCCTAGTATTACTCCCCCCTAAACAAAAAACTGCCAAATAAATGGCCAAGTTAATATAGTAATAATATGGTATCTACACTGAGGCTACCAGAAATGTGCTGTAACTTTGTAAACCCTTGACAAGAAAGAGAAAAATAGAAACAAATAGGAAAATATTCCTTGTATATATATATATATATATATATATATATATAATAAAAGTTTCAGGCTAAAATACTGATTCTGACTTTTG